TGTTCTGTAGACACACAAGTTCACCCTGCCCCCGGGTCACTCACGGTGTCCCTGCCACACACACCCGGTCTGCTCCAGAAGCTGCCCCTTGGACGTCCACGTCCCGGCCTGTGGCTGGGCTGCTCTCCGCAAGCCTAGGTCCAGCCCTGCCGGAGAAGCCACCAAGCCCACCCGCTGCCTCCCCTTCCCCATTACAGAGTCCCTGTGTCCTGGGCACTGGGAGGTGCTGGGCTTTGCCTAGGTCAAAGCGAGGCAGTGGACAGGCCTGGGACCAAGTGACCCAATCCCGGCTCATGTTGGGCTTCGGCTCCTGAGAGCTGAGTTTCCACATTTGCAAAATCAAAGTAAATACGATGATTTCAGACCTCGACCTCCTCGGGCTGACTGCTGAGGACGTTCCTACTTCATTGATCTTAAATGCATACCTTTCAGCCGGCCTGCGTGGCACACACCTGTAATCCCAATGACTCAAGAGGCTGAGGCAGGAGGACAGCAAGTTTGAGGCCAGCCCTGGCGACTTAGCAAGATCCTGTCTCAAAATAAAAAGAGCTCAGTGGTAGAGCACGCCGGTTCCCTCCCAGTGCCTCAAAAGAAAAAATGCTCGCTGCCTGTGGTTTAGTAGGTGGGACATGGGGGTGCAGCCCCTGGGTGACACATGAGCTCTGCGTCCTTTCCCAGCACAGAGAAGGACAGCAGCAAAGGCCCCGCGCCGTAGGGGTCATGAGACATGTTTCCACCCAGTTTCTTAAGGGAGGATCCCTGTGGCCCAGAATAAGCCTGGGTCCAGTGGCCACCTCTGCCCAGGGTCAGAGCAGAGTCAGGTGCAGTGGCCAGAGCCTGAGGGGAGTGATGTCCCCCGGTATTTCCTGAGCACCTACTCTGTTCCAGGCACTGTTCCAGGTGCCAGGGACACAGCAGTTGACAAAAGAGACAGTAAAACGGGGGGGGGTGGGGGGGGGGGTGGGGGTTAAAAATAGAATCCAGTGCTAAGTGCTTAGGGAGAAAATTAATCAGGGCAGACGGCTGGGGTGCGCCCAGGTCTCAGTTCCAGAAACTTCCAGGAAGGAACAAGGACACCACAATGGCGTTCGTGGCTCAGCATGTCCTGGGGCCCTGCCAGGGACTTGGGGACACTCGGGGACCTTTGGTAATGACCCTGAGAGGTCGGTGGGGCTGCACCGCGGCAGGACCTCAGGGTCGTGGGGCGCGTGGAGCACCAGGCTCCTCAAGCTGTTAAGAGGAAGGACAGCAAGTACTCCTGTCACCCTGTCCCCGCTTCCTGGCCTCTGCAGACGGGCAGGCAATGGCCACAGAGCTTCCCGGGCTCTGCAGGGTGGGTGGTTCCAGAGCAGAGCTGCCCTGGAGCCCGGAGCCCGGCCCCCTCCTGCGTTGGTTGCTGCTGAGGTCTGACTGCCGCCCTCCCCCTCCCCAGTCCTCCCTCCCCCCTTCCCCCTCCCCCTCCCCCACTCCCATCGGCCCACCCAGCCCTTTGCTGAAGATGTGTCTGGTCAGAGCAGCTCCCGTGAGCAGGAGGCCCCGGCCCCCCTCGGCCCAGCCGTGGGTCAGGGGTGGCCCTGGGAGCGGGAGTCCCTTCTGCTGAGTTCCAGAGCAGACGGCTCCCCTGCCCTCTTTCCCCTTTTAATAAAATAAGCGTTTTGCTCGGAGGCTTAATGAGGATCCTGGAGGCTTTGTGGCTTAAGCCCTCGGCCTGCGGAGCGGATGGCTGAGCCTTAGCGGGAGCTCAGCGTGGTGAACCGCATGCGGGCCAGGCCGCCGGGTGCCCACTGCCAGGCCGGGCCTGGGGCTCCAGTGTCGCCGAGGATGACGCTTTCGCCAGCTGGTCCGTAGCCTGAGGTGGCAGGGTCACTGCAGGTCCTGCTGGGGCATGCAGGCCCTGGTCAGTCTGACACAGGCCGTGGCGTGCACCTGCTGTGTGACCAGAGCTTTATGTGCCCATGGGGGGGGGGGGGATGGAAATACTGGTTCTCGCCAGGCTGTGACGGCAGTGCTAAAGCCCAGTGTGTCTGCGGAGCACCCCTCGGGTCATCTCACGTGGCCCTTCAAACCACCCTGTGGAATAGGCAGGGTCGAAGGTCAGAGGTCAGGCGAACTGCCCATGGAGTCACAGGGCCTCTGTCGCTGGTACCCACTGCCCAGGACCTCGATGGCCCCCATGTAGCAGAGTCACAGTGGTGGTGGCCCCTGCCCCAGCTACAGCCCCAGAGTCCCCTCCTCCGTCATCCTGCTCACGGGGGCTGGATTTCGGCCCATTACTGGCTCCGTTCCGTGACCCCCCCTGGACAGTCAGGAATTCTACACTCGTTTCCTTAAGAGGCTCCGATAAACAGGTCCTCGGTGCTGGGGGACACTTTCTCACACGTGCCTGCAGCCCCTCCCCTCCCGCCTTAGCCAGCCCCACCCAGGGGGATGAGGGCACCGGGAGCCCCCTGGTGACCCAGGCAGCGTCCTGGACGTGATCTGCAAAAGTGGGAAGGCCTTCAGGGCTGAGCCCAGGATGATGGTCACCCCATCGTCACCTCTTCTCGCAAACCCAGGGTCCCACTGGGAAGAGCGCAGGCAGCGTTGGGACACTGTGCTCATGGAGAGCCCGGCAAGTGACCTCCTCAGCTCAGGAGTCAAAGCAGCCTGGGCTGGAACCGGCAGAACCCACGAGCCCTGGGGGGCCGAGCCCGGTGCTTGACGCATTGCCCAGAGCCGGGTGTTGACGCCAGCCACAAAGCAGAGGAGAGGCTTTGTCAAGCACCACCTTGGTGGCAGGTCTTCTTACTATGCAAAGTTCCAGTCATTGACAGAAGTTAGCAAAATAACGGGACAAACCCAAGCCCATCAGTCACCTGGCCGGCCACCCGCCACCCCATGGCCAGCTCCGCCCACCCTCCTCCACTCCCTCCCCCCATGACTTCAAATCAGTCCTCAGATGTGTCATGTGGTCTGCAGGCTTCGGCATCCGTGGGAGGTGGGGCTCCAAAGGGTCATCCACCTGAAGAAAAGCCACCGTCCCCGGGTCCCTGTCTCTGGGTCCCCGTGCCCCCAGCGCTCACCTGCTGTTTTATTTTGTTGGAATCGGAATCCATAAATACCCTCATTGTGAGGAGCCGCGGTCCCTCCCCTGCTCATCCTCCTTGACTTCTTTCTGTATTTTTATTCTTCTTGCCGGTTTCCTGTTGGGGGCCGCGGTGTCTGTCCCGAGTCGCTGTGGCGTTTGGAGTTGCTGATCGCAGACGCGTGGTGTCCTGTAATGGGCCCCTCCGTCCCTTGAGTCCCGTGTAAACGGACCCTTCTTGTGGAGTTGATCAGGGTCGTTGTGGACTTGATTTTTGCAACGACCTTCACAGGATGGACGTCTCCGTCGTCCTGCCTTTTGTGGTGCTGACGGCCTGGAGGCGCCGTGGTGGTCAGGTGGCCTGCAGAAGCGGGGACGCAGTGTGCTCTCCGGGGGCCCCTCCACAAGGCAGCTGAGGTCCTAATGCAGGAGACCCCTGTCGTCCAGGGTGTGGCTGCCCAGGGTGTGGCCGCAGCGGGTGGGCCTGGCAGGTGGAAGCTGGGCGGGGCCTTGACCTTGCCCGCTGCTCTCCTGGTTGGATGGGTCAGCGCCTCGGCCGTTGGGCAACAGCTCAAGTCATGTGTTCGTTAAGAATCTGTTGCTTCCAAAGCTTCCAGGGCTCAGGCTTTTAGAAAGCCACAGGTGTCCAGCCAACGTGGATGCTGCTGGGTCATCCGACAGAGCAGCTGCCTCGTCCTTGGAGACAGACGGGGCTGTTCTCCCTTGGCCAATGAGAGGGCCGAGCCCCACTCTCAGGGACCTGCCGGCTTCCTTAGCAGGTGGTGCAGGAGCTGGGCCACCAGCAGGGGCAGAAGTGAGGTGGCCCTGTCCCCCGACTCCTGCCCGGCTGGAGACACGCTCCCCCTTCTGCCTGGGGAGTTCCCAGGGCCTGGCAGGAACCTGCTCTGGGAGTGCAGTGTGTTGGCCACCGGGACACCGGCAGGTGCTTGGCTGCACCTTGACTTGCTGCCCCGAGCACTGAGTGGCCCCAGTTCTCTGCCTACCCCTGGGGTTACTCTGAGAGACTTCAGGAGCCTTGTTTCTGTCCAGCCTGGGTCTGGCCTCAGGCAGGTCGTGGAGTTTGGCAGAACGCGTGAGCTTCGACGTGGGTAGGCCATCTGTCCCCTGTGGCCAACGCTGGGCCCTGCATCGGGGGTGGGGACCACTCAGCATCTTTAGGACAGAAGGAGGAAGAGGCCGGGGATGGCCAGTGGTGGGTGGCCGGTGCAGACCCCGTCTCTCTTGTGGGAGGGCCTTTCTGTCCATCCCTCAGCCTCAGATGGCACCGTCCACAGCCCCAGTGGTAATAATGGCAGGTCCGTCCCGAATCCTGAGACGTCCGTCGTGCGTCACCCCATTCGCTTCTCTAGAGAAGCCCGAGGTGGGAGCCGCCACCCTCCGGCTCTAGGCACCCAGAGACACCAAGAAGTGACAGAGGCCCCTGGGAGTGGAGGAGCGGGACCTGAACCTGGTGGTGGGATACAGACGCCTGCCCCTTCCGGCACCTGCTGGCATACGAGGTGTCCCCCAGAAGCTCGTGCGGGCACCAGGGTCATGTTCGGGGGTGAAATGATGGGGCGTGAGAGGCTCGGCTGGTCGGTGTGGCCGGAGGGCTGTGGGTTGTGTTTGGCCTTGGGGAGTGAGACTCTGGGTCCTGTTGTCCCTCCTGCTTTCCTCCCCCGCCCCCTCCCGCCGTGGCACCTGCCTCACCTGGGCCCCGAGCAACCGAGCTGCCGTCCAGGGACTGAGGCCTCGTGAGCCCCAGATCAACTTTTCCTCCTCTAAACCGTTCTCGTCAGGTCACAGGGCGGATAAGCTGACCAGAAGACAGAGGTGGTCAGTTCTTGAGCTTTTGGCCCTGACAGTTAAACGGGGGCGGGGGGGGGGGGCGCTTGTCCCAGGCCCCAGGCCCCAGGCCCCAGGACGGAGCAGAGGACGGGCATCAAGGGAATGAGAACACAGAGATTGGTGGCATTCAGAGACGCCCAGGGCAAAAGGAAATCGCCACGGGACAGGCAGACCGCCCTTCCCAGCCCACGGGCCGTGCCCAGAGCCCACAGCCAGCCCCCTGCTGGGACGGTTCTTCCAGGGTCCGAGTGGGCAGGGCTCAGGTGAGACTGACGGTTCCCACCAGTGACCGTGGCCTAGCAGATGCTGTCCTCTATCCTGGAGTGACCCCAGCCTCCAGCTCTGGGCCTGGCAGCTCTGAGCACCCTCCTGCTGACCCTTCTTCCTCCCGTCCCTTCTGCACCCCATGCACAGACACCAAACGCTCCCACACGTATGGATCTGCGCCTTCTGTGGTCTAGGGCCATGGCGGTTAAGACGGTTAAGTGAGAACAAAACAGATGGAGTCAGACGGGAAAAGAGTCTCTAGAAAAATTAATCTAGGAGGGAACAGAGTGCAGGGGAGAGGGTGTCTGGTGACATCGCAGTTTAGAGGCAGCAGGAGAAGTGAAATCCTCTCTAGAAAGGTGACAGCAACTGACCCGAAGGAGACAGGGGACTGCACCATGTGCTTAGGATTGGGGAGGGGTCTAAGGTCCCACAAGCGGTAAGTGCAAATGCCCTGTGGCTCCTTAGGGAAATAGTCATTTCGTGGATCAGAACTTCTTTGCCTCCCTGTCCATCAGTGTCTGCTTCTGAGTCTCACCCCCAGCCCAAGGATCATCATGGGAGACAGGAGGATGCTCAGGTGACCTGATTGCTGTGAACCTGAGGAAAGGGGTGCTCATTTCAGTGGAGGGTTCCGACTTGGGGTGGACCAGCCACCTGGACAGGTGCTGAGCAGGAACTAGGCTGAAGAACCAGAAAACTGGTTTGAACCCCCAGCAGGGTCTCTGGTTTGTTGTTGAAGTGACTTTGTCTCCGAGCCTCAGGCCCTTCCTGATCTGTCCCCACCCTGCCCCCCCTGCAGGAGCTCCTAGGAGCAGCCGGGAAGTGCAAGGGCAGGTGAGGCTGTTCCTGAAGTCTGTCACCTCGCTCAGTGCCCAGCCCTCTCCAGGCCAAATCCCCCGACTGACCAGCCAGGCTGGCCCTGGTGACCTTCCTCTGTACAATGAGGGCGATACAGTAGCACCCTGTGCAGGGCCCATCTTTAGGTTCATGGTGTTCCGACTCCTTGGAGCGCAGTAGAGATGCTGTGAGCACTAAGTACTTTCTTTCGAAGAGTCGACGTGCCCAGGACGGGCTGTGGTGGCCAGGGAGGGGTGACATTTCCTTGCTGCCCTCCCACATTCTGCTGTTCTCCAGCTCCAGAGTGACTCACATTGGTCAAAACCACCAGAGCCTGACGTCTAACCCACAATCCAGTCACTCACTCCTCGGGGAGGAAGGTCACTGCCCGGAGCTCCGTGTGTGCAGACCTCTCACCTGCAGGGAGGGGCCCATGGTGGCCCTCGGGGACCGCTGGCATGGTTAGCTGGAGGGACGCACTTCCCTCCCTCCTAGGGAGGCACCTGCTGTGGGGGAACTGTCAGCGCGGGCAGGTCTGGGCCTGCGTGGGACCGGGCACACCTTGTGGCTCTGCCTCGTGACCCTGTCTCTTAGGAGTTTGGGGGTGGGCACAGTCCCCTCCTTGGGGTACACAGCTCTGCCTGCTTCTCTGTGGCCACAGGCCAGCACCCTTCCCGGCAGGACAGCTGTCGACCCTGGCCGGCCTCCCTGTGTCCGTGTGTCCCCCGTCTTCCCCAGGCAGCCGGAGTGAGGGAGGCGCCTTCAGCACAGCTGTGGCCTGAGTGACGGGTTCCGCTCGATCTGAGAAAGTGACTGCATTTGGGAAAGGGGAGAGACTTGGAAAGACTGTGGCCCTGCCACACCGCCATCTCCAGCCCCTCGTCCCCAGAACTGAGGGAGGATTAGAAGCCACTGAGACTGTGCTCCTGTAGCCACAGGAAACCAATTCAGAGCAGATCCAAGGAGGCCTACTGCCCCCGGGAGGGAGCCCCACCAGCTGTCCCCGACTTCACCACCTGCTCCTCGCTGCCCCAGGGCCTTTGCAGAGGCTGAGCCCTGTTGGAGCTCCTCCCTGCTCTTGGCAAGACTGTCCCAGGCTGCGTCCACCTGCTGCCTGGGGACGTCCCCACCACATGGACCTCAGCTCCCATGTAAATCATCCTATTTAAATAATCATTAAAAGTGTGTCATTGTGACTGTCCGTCAAGATAGAGACATTATCTGTCTGGTTTCCCCAGCCTCAAGCCCGGTGGGTGCCCGGCTCACGGTCTCCTGCTCACGGTCTGCTGCGGTGAGTTTGCTGGATGCTCCGGGTGGGACTTCCTGTTGGTAACTGCTGCAGGTCCCGCCTATCTTGTTCTTGACCAAGGAGACGCTTGACTGTTTAAAACACCTTTTGTAGATGCTGGGGTCCCCTTAGTCCTGAGGGATTGGATTTGAAGCCTTAGAATTCTGGGGGAGACTTAGTGTCACCCCCCGTAAGCCATTCACACAATCCTGCCTCTAGGGTGAGACCTGAGAGTTGGACCTGGCCACCCTGGGCAGTAGTGAGCTCCCCGTCCGTGGGGGGTTGCAAATTCTCACCTGCGCACTTATTTGATCTTCGCAACCTCTAAGGATCCCCCGGGGTCCTCAGGGTCCTCCATCTCCCTGCCTTCTTCTCAGCCTGATAGCTCCATCTCCCTGTCCCTTTCCCGGGCCACCCTTTGGACTTTTTCTCAGACAAACCAGAACCCGTCGGCGACGTCAACGCGCGTCCGTGTGCTCACACGTGGGATTCTACAGTGCGGGGGTTCACCGGCCCTGCGTATGTGTTTGGTGGCAGGCTTGGCTAATCGCTCATCTAATTATACTCATTAACATTTAAATGTATGGTCATTAACGGATCTGGACGTGGCGGTCTCAATATTTGATGAGGTCTTAATCACAGTAGACTTCCAGTCCTGCTGTAAACCCTCGCGCCCCCCAATTAAAGGAACAGCGTCAGGTATCTCGGGCCTGCGGGGGCCGCGGTGTTTGATTCCCTGAGACGGTGCCTTAGAAGAAGTGGCCGTCGGTGGACAAGTCCAGAGAGCTTCCTGCTGCCACTGCGCTCCCGGCTGCAGTCACGAGTCCCCGCAGAGGGGACCTCAGAGGCAGGATCCCAGCTCATTCTTTCTGCCAAGGCCGTGAGGAGTCGGGAAGAAGAGCCCCCCCCCGTTCTTGTCCCCCCACATCTGGAAGCCCTGGTGGGGCCCTGGGGGAGGGGAGGAGGAAGAGGAGGGGGTGAGTTTTGTGGCTGCGGAAGCCGACCCGGGCGGCGTGGATCCTTGGCCGCGGGGTCTGCAGCGGTCACCTGTGGGCCCAGGAGCTCTCTCCTGGTGACGGCGTCTGCACAGCTCCCGAGACTCTGGGGTCTTCCAGCCCGGGTGCAGGTGACTGCAGCCTGAGGCTGCGGGTCTCCTGGGGTCACTTGGCCAGCTGGAGGCGACTGGCATCCTCGGTGTCCTGCTGCAGCTCTGCCTGGACCGAGATTTGGGTTGGCCCAGCAGCCGTCCTGGGAGAAGCGAGCTGTGGCCTGCAGGGGTCGGAACCTCTCGTGGGTGGGGCCACCAGGCTGCTCCCCACAGCCCTGCCGGGCACCAGCCATCTGGACACTGTCACCCTGCCTGGCCCTGCCCCTGCCTCTCCCCAGCCGGGCCAGGCTGACCCGGCCCTGCCTCAGTGTCCTCACGGGTCAGCTGGGGAGGATGAGGGTCCCCCTCCTAGGTTGCTTTGAAGGAAGTTTTAGTAAATATTTCCAAGGCGGAGACCGATACCTGAGCCAGTGCGGCTCTGGGGAGATACCCACTGCGCCGTGATCGCCATCGTCACCGTCGCCATCGCTACGGAGGCCCCACTGACACCTCCTGCCAGCCCCCACCCATCCTTCCTGGGAACCCTCTTCACTGCTACCCACAGGGGCACTGGACCACGTTGCCAGGGCCCATGCAGGACTGAGCTGGACCTCAACAGAGGACGGAGCCCATGTCCCCCCCAGTCCCAGGAGGCCCGAGGGTTGGTAGGAGGACATGTGCCCACAGCTGGAGCTGCCCAGGCCCTCGCAGGGCCCCCCAGTGTCCTGGGGCCAACACACCTGCACCACAGAGCTGAGAGCCCCGGGCTGTCCACACGCTGGACGCTATTCCGGGGACACCCTGCAAGGCAGGCGCAGTTCTTAAAGTTTTTTGCTGAAAGGTCACCTACTGTGGGACAGCGCAGGTCTCGGGCCTGCGTCTCGGATTTTCACAAGCTGACCCCACCAGGGTGACCAGCACCAGATCCGGGAGTCGAGCCTCCTTGGCACCCGAAGCCCTCCTATGCCCCTGGCACTGTCCCCTCTTGCTGCCCGCCCAGGTGGGTTCACTGGCGGCATCTCACCTCCACGTTGGCCCAGGAGTGCGGCGGTCAGTCTATGGGGTCCGTCCTCGCCGTGCGTGACTCTCACCCTCCCTCATTCTCCTGGGCCCTGAGGTCCACCGGGTGCCGGGGCTCTGCTGGCTGTGGCCGCGTCTCGGGAGCACGTCTGGGTTCTTGCTGGAGCCTCGCAGCCGCTGCAGGCTGATGGGTGACGGGACACGGTGCCTGCTCACGGGGCACATACCTGGGCGGGAACCCCGTCCCTCCCCTGCGGACACAGACAGGCCTGACGTGATTCGCTCCGGGTCCCACAGCTAGTGCGTGGGGAGCTGGGATTTGAGGCCAGGAGGTCTGGCTCCAGGCTCTGCCCTCTGGACCCTGCTCTCCACTGCCTCTCCTCTCTTCTGAACTCGCCTGGGAAGACACTGACTGGCCACCAGGCTGTCACCTGCACTGAAACTTGAACGGCCTTAGGGTAGACAGAGCTGGTGGGACCAGTCTCCACATCACTCAGCACCCAGAGCAGCTTCTTATACAAAGCACAGAGAGGGACATGAGTTCCCAAAGCCACACAGCATTCCAGCTTGCACCCCGGTAACCCACCTCCCAGTCCTCTGGTTGTCCCCTGCTGCACGTCCCCACTTCCTCTCTTAGGACTGAGCCAGAGCCATCGTCTTGCCTGAGACTTGACCTTACACACCCCCGTGAGCCTTTAAAAACAGGCGTCATGGTGTGGGCGTGGGGCCTGAGGCTGGTGGAGCTGTTTCCAGAAGCACCCCTCCCCCAAGCCTAGGGAGTGTGTTCCGGCCTGGCCACGGCCACTATTTTTAGTGTAGATTTGGAGGAAGGAGGACTTTTCCTGGATTCTCCTTCAGAGGCTGGAAAACAAAACCCGCCGCCCGCCCTCCCGTCCCACCCATTTCCCTGCTGCTGGTGCTGGGCTCCGGGGGAGCGGGAGGGGGCTGTCCTCCAGGTGAGCTCTGGGTTCCTCCAGGGCAGCCCCCCTCTGCCCTGCTGCCCCCGGCTCTCTCCCCGTGTCCACAGGTCTGTGGTCTTCCCGGGGACTGGCCAGCCCTTCCCAGCTAAAACCTGTTACCCCTGGGGGTCCTGGGCCCTGGGCCCCCACACGAGGCCGAGGCTTGCCCGGTGGCTGGGTGGCCCCAGCGTCCTCTCCCCAGCCAGGCTCCAGGGCAGCGAGCGTCCAGGTGGTCTCACAGCCTCACCTCAGGTGGGAAGTGTCACCTGGCAGCTGGCAGCTTTGGCTCTCAGGTCACGTCCCCAGCGGTAGGATGAGGAGGACGCTGTCTTCCCTTGTCACACACAAGGGTCAGGGGTCTCACCCAGGGACACACGACCGGCCAGTGGTGGGGCAGGCTTCCTGCCCAGGTCTCTGCCGCACCCAGCCCACAGCACGGGTGTCCCCAGGCCTCCCCTGTGCTTCGTCCTCCACAGACGCCTGCCCAGGTCAGTGGCATCCACCTGTGGCCCGCAGACGCGATGGCCAACACGGAAAAACTAAAGTGGCATTTCAGGAATTCAAAAGAATAGGGACGTGGGGCTCGGAATTCTCCGGAACCGTCAGGATGTGGGGCCCTGCGGGCAGTGGCCTGTTCTGCGCGGGGCGTGGGGGAGGGCGGGCATGCTGGGAATCCTGAGCCTCGCGCCCCCCAAGCCCGAGCGTCTCCCTGCGCCTCTTCCTTTTCCTGCCACGGGCCAGGATTCGTGCCAGCTCCCGGGCACTGACAGGCCAGGCCCAGCTTTCCAGAGGCTTCCAGGCTCATCTGGGAGGCTGGGAGGTCCTGAGCATTGGTCTGTCCAGGCCACTGGGGCAGTTCCCCTGGGGTGGCTGTGGGCCGTGGGCAGGTGGGCTGTGGCAGGTGGTCATGGGCAGGTGGGCCTTGGACTCATGTGTGCAGAATCATGGCAGGAGCTGAGGGCTTGGAAATGGGGAAGAAGCTTCGCTGGGTGGGGGTCCGGGAGCCGGGATTCATCAGGGGAGAGGAGGCGCTCTCGAGGCCCGGCTGGTACAGCAAACAGAAGGTCAGCGTCCAGGCGGCCAGGTGGGAGGCGCAGGGCGCCCGGGGAAGAGCACAGAGTGGAACTGGGATTAGGAGGGTGGAGGCTGGGGGCGGGGAGGGGAGGGAGGGGCTTCAGGCTGAGGGAGCAGCTGGCACAAGTGTCCTCAGCAGGGACCATGCCCTCCTGACCTCAAGGAGCCAGTGTGGGCCCCGCAGAGGAGATGAGGCCAGAGAGGCGCAGGGGCCGTGTCCGGGGGGCCCCTGTGGGCCTCTGGAGGGACTCTGCAGCCCTGAGAGGGGAAGAAGCCACGGGGTCCGACTGGCACGTGAAGGGGCCGCTGCTCGGCCCCAGTTAGGTTCAGGAGGCCCCTTGGGGGCTACCGCGCGGCCCAGTGTGGGACGGTGATGCCATGGGCCAGCGGAGCGGCCAGGGAGGTGAGGGTGGCCAGACTCTGGCGGGGCTTGCTGGCGAGCTGGGTTTAGGGAAGAGGGTCAAGGAAGGTTCTAGAGTTCGGGACCAGTGCCCTGGAAGGCTGAGACCCCCGTGAGGGAGAGTGGAGCATGTGAGGAGGGTTTGGGGGCTGGTCAGGGATGTGCCGTGGGGCACGCGTGGCCCCAGATGCCGTCGGGTGCACACGCGGGGGAGTAGAAAATGCACCCGGCCCTGCGGGGCGCTGGCCAGGCTGGCCCCAGCGTGAGGTGGGTGCAGTACAGGGTCGCAGGGCCCCGTGAGGAAATGACCGAGGGGGCAGCTCGGGGACTGGTGCCTCAGGGCCTAGAGGTCAGCAGCGAGCAGAGCCCAGGAGAGGGCACGCGGAACAGGGGGAGCCAGGCAGGCCGAGGGGAGGAGGTGGCCCTGTGCCGGTGGAGCCTACACCCATGGGGACAGGGGACCACGGGGAGGGGGGACGGCAGAACGGTCCAGAGGATGGGAGGAAGGAAGACGGGGGAGGTCTATGGGGGGGAGGGGCAGAGGAGGGTTTTCTGTTGAACAGGCCAGAGCTGGCAGGACTCTGGGGACCCACCGAGGTCACATGCAAATGCAGGGAACTCGATGGCCCAGGGGGCTCTGGGGATGAACGAAGGGGGCTTCAGTCTCCAAACAAAGGGAAGAGAGTACAACAGACACTAGGCCGATGGCAGGGGACACTAGGAGAGCTGGGTCCCAAAGTCCTGGGCCTGGATGTCACCTGTGTTGGAGAAGTGCAGGATCCGTCCCTGGCACTTAAGATTCTGCCGGTGCCCTCTGTCAGTGGAAGCTGGGGTCCACTGAATCCTCTGTGTCCTGCCTGGGTCAGGAGCAGGAGCAACGTGAGCTGCACCTGGGCGCCGTTCACAGAGCAGCTGGGCAGGACCTCCGCCGTGTTGCGGCCAGTTCTGAGAGCATCACAGCAGGTGCTCAGGGTCCCGGCAGAAGGCACAGGGGAATTACCACATCCTACCCAGCTCCCTGGGAGGGCGGCGGGAGCCAGGCAAAGAAACACAAGACAGCACAGGTTCCCGCTGTCCCCTGGACTGTCCGCCTCCGTCAGTCCGTCCTCTGACAGCTGGTCATCACAGGTGACTGAGCCATCAGCTGTATTTCAAGGTGTCCCTTCTGCCAGACACTCGGGCACCGTCTCCTGTGCTTGCTTGTGTGAGAATTGCGAGTCTGAGTGCGCTCCTGTTTATTTCTTTTTATGGTTTCCTTGGGATGGATTCCCTAAAGCGCAGTTGCCAAGTGAGGAGGCCTTTGGCCAACTCCTGCCACGGCGGGCAGGACGGGCCGCTCCCTGCCCTGCGGGAGCCCGGACGGCCAGTCAAGCAAGTGGACAGAGACATGTGAGGCCCACCCAGCTCCCCTCCCTTGCCCTCGGCCCTGTCAAGGGACATCACGCTGCGTGGAGTCCCTTGTCGCCTGTCACTGGTGCAGATGTCTGGTTTCCCAGGGTGGACAGTTAATCACCGCTGGCTCTGTGGCTTCAAGAGTCAGTCTAGGTCCCACGGAGCGTGATGTCGTCGGCACAGTGTTGACCCAGACCAGGGTCCTGGAGCAGTTCTCCCACATGGCAGCCCTGACCTGCCGCTGGCGCATCTGCCTCACTCTGAGCCGACCCGGACCCGTTGGCCTCTGGTGCCACGGCAGACATCCTTAATCAACAGCCGGGTTCCCAGAGGGCCTGGTGGATTGGCCGTGTCTGCCGTGGCCCGAGGACTGTGAAACAAGGACCTGGTTGGATACGTCCTGTCCTGCCCGGGCAGCAGGTTGGGCAGGTCTGGGGCTGACTTTGTAGGGGGCACCTGAGAGAGGATCTGTGGGGCATCTGTCAAATTCATGGGCCTGAGCGCCCAAGTGCTGGGGTCGGGAGCCAGGCCTGCCTGCCACTCTGGCCGTGTGGCCCTCTGCTCATTCAAGGTGACCAGAGGGGAGGTACATTGCGCCTCATGTCCACACCAGCGAGGGGCGTCTCTGGCCGGGCCTGGCTCGGGAGGTGCGGGGCGTTCTCCTTTGCTGCCCCATGCCCAGGCCCAGCGACCCTCCTCACCTGAGTGCCACAGGATGGGGCAGAGCCCGGCTCACCCTGTGGGAACCAGGGGACTCCAGCCTCCTGAAGGCAGCCAGCGCCAGCCAGGACCACAGACCCGTGGGCCCCTCGCTGCTGCAGGTTCTGCCGTCCCCCTCCCGCCCTGGGGCCTCCCCCAGCCCGGGCTCTCTTAGAGAGCTGAACTGTCCCCCTGCGTCCCCTGGGGCCAGGCCTGGAAGTGGCAGAGGGGACTCCAGGAAGAGAAGCTGACTGAGCGCCTGCTGCCTTCACCGAGCTCCGCACTGCCCTCTGTCACCTGCACCTTACAAGGTGGAGCTGAGTCCGTGCTGCCTCACAGCCGAGGAAGCTGGAGGGCCACCTGCCGGGGCTCGGTCCCTCCAGCTGACGGGGGCGAGGAGAGGCTGCCTGCCAGGGCTCCCCACCAAGGCCCTGTCTTTCTGAGGCTCTCTTCTCCGCAGATGCTCAAGGCCTGCGCTCCACAGTTCACGGAAGGCAAGACAGCCTGTCCCCTACGCGCAGGAAGGACGAGACCCTCAGTGGCCGCCTGCAGATGAGGAAACCGAGGCTCAGTTAAACTTGAGCAGATCCCCAGCCGGTGCTTCTAACCCAGCCGTGTGGCTGGCGGGCTGCTGAGTGACGTCCACCGTTCTCCCTGCCCCTCGGGCCTCAGTTTCCTCAACTGTAAGGGGAAGTCAAGCTGGATCCCGTGTGCCAGGCCCTCTGCCCCGCTGCCTGCCCACCCTGGTCTACGTAAAGGCTGAAAGCAGGACTGGTCAGCACTGTCGGCTGGAAAAGAAAGGGCGTCCCCTGCTGGCCATGGCTGGGATCATCCTGCATGGGTGGCCATTCACCTGCCTTCCCACCTCTGAACTCAGGTTTGCGGGGGACCCCCAGGCCAGGAAGTTGAACAAGGACCCTGCGTGGAACGTCCAGGCCCACAGTCTCCTGACCTCACGCTGGTGGGAAGCCTGTGGTGGCCGGGAATGGGACCCTGACGTGCTGGCTGGGGAAGCGGGTGTCAGGGAGGGTTCCTGAGACCTGCGGACACACGCGGGTACACAGAGTCCCAGCAGCACGGGGCAGTGGGGTGCACAGAACACAGGACCACCATCAGTGAGACCCCGTCAAGCCTCTCGGGTGGCCGGGTGGCCGCAGGAGTGGCATCTTGTCTAGAGCACCTCGTGCCCGGCTGCATGCTGGGTCACGGTGGCCGCGGCCGGCCACTGTCTACAGCCACGTGCCTACACAGCAGGGCGGGCGAGGGGGGCCCTCAAGGCCGGACCTCCTGGGTTTGGGCCCAGGACCTGCCTCTGTTCCGTGGCCTTGGTGAGCAGGTCCACCCTCGAGTCCCCGATTGCTCCTCCGTCGGGCAGGTGCATCCCACCCATGGCACAAGGTCCTTCAGGGCCCGTGGGGACAGTATATGGTCACCGGCCACACTGTGAGGGTGGCCTTGGGATTGGTGATACTGGAGGCCACAGGGTAGCGGGTGAGGAGGGTGGGGCCTGGCAGCCGCTGCCGTTCACACCACTTGGCCCAGGTCCCTCCTCTGTCCCAGGCCACCGCCCCCTCCTACCGTGGGTGATTTCATAAGGGGATTGTGAGGTTTAAGTGATGAAACGTCAGGGGACGTGGCACGGTGCTGGCCCTTCCTCAGTCACCACGCGGGAATCGTCTCAGTACCTCAGGCTCAGGGAGAGGTGAGATGAGAGTGGGTCACGGGGTCCCTCGGTGCCACCGCGGTGGGTGAGGAGAAGGCCTCCTGCAGGCCCCCGGCTCCGGGAGCTCCAAAGCCTGGATTCGCTGGTGCTCCTCCGCGTGGGCCGCGGCCTCCCTTCCCGGGGCACAGAGGCCAAGGTCTGCTCTGTCCTGGGGGAGCACAGGGTAGGGGACCTTTCCTCTCCCTTGACCCCTGACCCCGAGCATCACAGCTGCTGGTACAGGACTGGTGCTGGGGTCCCTGCAGCCAGCAGGAGGCTTCTGTCACCCTCAAAGACAGAAGCCAGGAAAGGCCTAGGAATGCCGTGGTTGGGGGCAGCAGGGAACCCCTTCCCAAAACCTCAGTGGCCGAGAGTGACTCCAGAGTCTGGTTGTCATCCAGAGGCATCTGTGACGGGGCACGTGGGAGCCCCAGGGGGTTGATTTCTGGTTCCTGCATGGGCTGAGGCTGGCTCCCCACCCTCCAACCACAGGACACAGGTGAACCCCCAAAGGGGTCTGTGCCACCTGCCCCAGGGCAGCTGCTCCCCTGGGCAGGAGGGACCATCGGAGCCCTCTCCTGAGTTCCAGTGCTTCCTGCTCTTCCTGCCCACCCTCTGAGCCCAGCCAGCCCCAGCACCAGGCAACGGCTGAACCCCAGGCTGTGGCTGCCTAGGGGTCAGCCCTAGTCTCCCGGTCAGAAGCCCAGCCACCACCTCTCATGGGAGCCCGAGCGCAGCCTCAGGGGGCAGGTGCCCGATGGTCACTTCTACAGGATGCCCCCTGACCGGGGTCCATCTTTGCCTGCTGGTGTTTCTTGCAGTAGGGTCCCCAGTGTGTGAGTGCAAGGTGTTAGGGACAGGGCACAGAGCCCGCCTGGCTGGGACCCTCCAACCCCCTGTGCCTGGGGCCGCCCCTGCCTGGGGAAGTGAAGCCAAGCGTCCTCCCCTGCAGGCCTGCCGTCCCAGGGAGCAGGTTGGAGTTCCAGCCCTGGTGAGGCGGCTGAGCCCAGCTGGCCACGAGGAGGACAGGCCCCGCTGGGGCACTGGCAGCTCAAAACTGGAATTCAGAAGTCCACCCAGGGCCCATCGTCCCGGGGACCCTCCCTCCCCCCACCTGCTCTACCTGGGCAGGAGGATGAAGGGGGCCCAGGGCCAGAAGGACATCAGCCTCTGTGGGCGCTGGGCTGGAGCTCCGGGTCCGCCTTGTCCTGTATACAGAGGGTCTGCAAGTTGGGAGAAGGAGCACAGCCGTCGTCTGCCCCATGTCAAGGCCATCTGCTAGCCTCAGGGCCAGGACCCCCAGATCTGGAGGACCTCTCCGCAGCATGATGTCGGGTCAGGTGTGTGCGCCTTAGATGTGGCTATGGCGCTTCAGGCAAATGACTTACCCACTCTGCGCCAGCTCAGGCTGGAAGCTTCCAGAGCCCAGGAATTGCATCGCCCACCCCCACCACCTCCACAGTTAGCCTCGGAAGCCCCTCCCTGCTCTCCTGGGGGGATGCAGGCTGGGGCCTGGGGAGAGGCCACGGAGACAGAGCCTGCTCCGTTCCCAGGGTGCCGTGCCGAGGGGAGACAAGAGTCACTGCCTCGCAGAGCAGGGACGCGTGTCTGGGTTTGCTGTCCGCCATCTGGTCCTGGTGCCTACAGTTGGCCATTTAAGGTGTCCACGCCGCTCGAGTTCAGCATCTTCACAGGATTTACATCCAGCTCGACCCATGGGAGGGGACTGCCATGACCTCAGAAATACACCACGACCTTCAGCGTCACCCCGTGGCCCAGGCCAGGGCCCCAGCTGATTTCCTTTCTGTCTCCCTAGAGTCCCTTCTTGGGACATTTTGTGTAAATGGCATCACGTGCCTTGTGGCCTTTAGCGACTGTCTTCTCTCCAGGCCCCTATGTTGCAATAGGCGATGGTGGGTCCTTCCGTGAGCGGCGTTTCACGGTTGGCGCTACCTGTACTGTCCATCCATCATCCCTGGGGTGGGACCGGTTCTGCCTGTTTAGTTTCTTGAAGACGCTGCCGCAGACAGGCTCTTGCGTAGACGTGTGTTCGCGTTGCTCTTGGGTGCACGCCAAGGGGTACGATTTTCGGGTCATGTGTTGACTTATTCGATCTTTTTGAGGAACCACCTGAATGTTTTCCAAAGCCTCCCCCTCTACACGGGCCAGCAGCTGTGAGGGTTCAGTTCACCCGTGTCGTCGCCAACACTTGTTACTGTCTTTAATTGTAGCCCTTCTAGTGAAGGGGTGCTCTCTCCACTGTGGTTTTGGTTTGCATTTCCCAGATAACTAAGGATATCAAGCGCCTTTTCATGTCCTGGTTGGCCACTTCTTGGGGAACTTTCTTCAGATTCTCCACACGTACTTTAAGCGGGTTGTCTTTTTATTATTGAGTCGTGAGCGCTATTTACATGTTCCAGACCAAATGCCTAATCAGAGGAAGGGCTTGCAGACATCCCCCCACCCCCCAGCCTGTGGGCCGCCTCTGGTTTTGTGGACAGGGTTCTCTGAAGCGCAGGTTTCAACGTTGATGACCCCAGATCCTCTGTTTTGTTCCTGTTGCGCATACGTTGGTGTCTTGTCTTACAAGGTTTTAATCAAGCTCCTCTCCCCAGGGGAGACCCACAGTGGATGGGGGACTCTTGGGCAGAGCTGAGTCCCTCTGGTGGGCTCAGAGTGGCCCTGGGGGTCCCTTCCGCTTTCTGGGCTGGGGGTCAGGAGCTGACCAGGCTCTTCACACTGGGGACCCCCGGAGCCAGCTCAGGGCTGGGAAAGGCCTCAACAAGGCCTGGCCCCTGCCTGGGTCGCGGAGTCCCAGTGGGGAGAAGAGGACTCAGGCAGAGAGGGCCTGGTCACACCCTGGGGACGCAATGGGTGGAGCCTGAGAGACACAAGTCTCAACCCCGGTTTCTCTTCCATTAGAGGCGCTGGGGAGCCCCGGGTCGGGAGCTAACCACGTCTCTGTCCTCAGCCATGAAAGGCGATCGCAAGCGCCTGAAGGGCGAGAAGACGGACCTGCTGAGCCAGATGCAGCAGCTGTACGCCACGCTCGAGAGCCGCGAGGAGCAGCTGCGCGACTTCATCCGCAACTACGAGCAGCACCGCAAGGTCCGCGCCCCTCCGCGCCCGTTGCAGGCGCTGCCTCTCCAACCCCAGAGCACTGGCGGGAGGCTCCCGTGTGCGTAGCCAGTTCTGGGCGCTCAGAGACCACCAGCTGAGCCCCTGGTGGCAGGCCCGTGTCGCCTGGACAGTGAGTCCAGCTGCTTCAGATCCCCGCACCCACACGTGTGCCCTTGGGCATCCGACTGTGCCCTCTTAGACCGTCAGTTTCCTCATCTGCAGAGAGTGGTCATGGTGCAGACCTGCAGAGGTGCCGGGAGGTCTCTGGGTAATACATGCCCAGCGCTCAGCACAGCGCCCAGCCAGCCCATAATAAGCACTCCGTCCCTGTGAGCTCTGCCTCTTGGTACTAACATAAAGAGTGAGGAGAAAGACCCCAGCACCTGTGAAGACAGCAAGAATCCCGCCTGCAGGGAGGGAGGCTTGGGAGGCTTCCCAGAGGAGGTGACATATGAGTTGGGCTCTGTGGGATGAGTAGGAGTTCGTGGGTCAGGTCACTGAGGGATTTGGTGCAGCAAGTATCTGCATGGTCTAGGCTGCATGGAGGTGCCAAGAAGGATGGTGAGACTTAGAATCAGGCCCGGCTAAGCCGCTTTTCTGCAGGGAGCAAGTGAACCCTGTGGTGCTCAGGGCAGGGAAACTGCTCTCCAGGTACAGGACTCCCTGGGGAGGGCTGTGACCACAGTGTGCACACAGGCTGAAGGCGGAGGTGGGAGGTGCCTCAGCAAGTCCCTGCACAGTTGGTGGTGGCAGACCACCTGGATGGGTCCCATTGAGGACCGATGCCTCTGAGATGTAGTTGAAAAGCCGAATGTCCCCATGCTTTGTCCCCACGTGCACTCTGGTCTTCCCCAGTGACACTCACTGTCACCTCCTGGGCGTACACATCACTTTTTCTCCCATGATGAAAACTGCCCCAGGGAGCTTGTGGCTGCTCCCACAGCCCCCAGTGGAAGCCTGCAGCTTCCATGTCCCCAGTGCTGTCCCCTCCCCTGCCGGCTGGGTCACCACTGCCAGCACCCGTCCATGCTGGATGTCCCAGGTCCCCAGATGCCAAAACTGTTTAGATGAACCAGGGAAGGGCTCGGGCCACCTGAGGGGTCCTGGAGAAAGGCCACGGACATCCCCTGAGCAGTGGCTCCCGGAGCCTTAGAGCTTAAGAGCCCAAGAACAGATGGTCACTGTGTCATTTAATGACATGTGAGGTCCACTTCTGTGATTTTGCCCTTTTTTGGCAAGAAAAGCCCTAGAGGGCACCTTGCCTTCCATAGAACCACAGGTGCGACCCCCAGCCCCACCTGAGCCCCAGGTGTCACTCTCATGAGCTGGCTTCACAGTTAGTCCCCTTCACGTTCATTCAGAAAAATGGAGTTTGGAAAACACCCAGTTTTTTAAATTAGCCTTGATCCTGTTCCCAAGGAGACTCACTCCCACGGCTCCCACCCATCTGCAGGCAGCAGCGATAGGACAACCTTTAGTCCCCCGTGGGTCTGACCCTGTTTTGCAGGTGGGAGGACTGAGGTTCTGTGGGACCATGTGACCAGGCCAAGCCACGTGGGCTTTTGAAGATGCTGAGGCCACAGGTCCTGGTTCTGTCCGGCCTCTTCCAAGGTCTTGCATCTGGTTACCAAAAAAATCATGCATCTTTTTTCTTTTTTTTTTTTAATGTATATATATTTTTAGTTGTGGATGCACTTGTATTTATTTTTGTGTGGTGCTGGGAATCGAACCCTCACACATACTAGGCAAGCACTCCACCTCTGAGCCGTGACCCAGCCCAAAATCATGCCTCTTTATTTGCAAAATAAATGTCCCTGTGGACAGGATTAGAGGCCCGCAGGTCCGTCCTGGCTGGTACCACTCAGCCTCCTATGGGGACCAGCCTCCCGGGGAGCCCTGCAGGCTCAGCCAGCAGGACCCAGCCCAGGGTCCGTCGGAGGCAGGGACAGCACAGGCACAGGCTGCTGAGAACCAGGGGCCTTGTCTGCCCGGGAAGTTCCCAGGATTGCAACATGTGAGACAGCACACGCCCTGTCCCAGGGCACAGCCGAGAGGGGACTTGGGGACTCTCCACGAGTCCAGCTGGGGAGGTTCTCACGATAGACCAGGCAGCCAGGCCCAGCATGGACACAGGGTGACCTTGGTGATGAGGTCACGTTGGAAACAGGCCTCCGTCCTCCAAATACCATCGTGTCCCCAGCCGACCTTGTCCCCTGCGGCCCCTCCCTCTGCCTTCTCCCATCCTGCCCTGGCAGTCGGGGAGGACCCCCACTACCCAGCCTCTCCTCCGGGACCCTCATGGTCTGGACAAATCCTGCTCTGTGAATTCCGGCCGCCCTGACCCCGTCAGGTCCCCTTGTTTTCACCTCAGTTATCAGCAGGGACTGAGACATGGTTTGATTTCTCTGGGCCTCAGTTTTCTTGTCTGTGAAATAGGTTAATGTCAGTCCCCGCCTCGCAGATGGGTGTGAGATTTGAAGGGAGCAGTGCACCCGGAACCCTGTGCAGACGCTCCATGAAAGTCCCTGCTGTGCCTGCCCCCCACTGCCAGGGAACTCCGTCCTGGAGGTGGGGGTCCCGGGCTTGAAAGCACTGTAGTCGCTTACTGCCCTCAGTCAGCTCATGACCAGTGGGACCAGCAAAGAGATGGAGATAAAAATGGCCCTGAGGGTCCTAGTGGGTCCTCCTCCTACTTCAGAGATATTCCTAGGCAGTCACTTGAGCACCAGGTGTTTCTCAGGGACAGTCCGTTAGCCCAGCTGTTCAGCTCCACACTCTGGGAAGTTTTTTTGGCATCCACTCTGCAGGGGCAGGGCTCTGTCTGCATCCTGCCTGCTGGTGGCATCCACGTATCAGGTCTGAGTAAGAACAGGTTGGAGCCGGGTGGTGGTGGTGCACGCCTTGCAGGCCCAGAGGCTCAGGAGGCTGAGGCAGGAGGATCGTGAGTTCAAAGCCAGCCTCCGCAAAAGTGAGGTGCTCAGCAGCTCAGTGAGACCCTGTCTCTAAATAAAACACCAAAAAGGGCTGGGGAGTGGCTCAGTGGTCGAGTGCCCCTGAGTTCAATTCTTGCTACCCAAAACAAGAAGGTGCCCTCTCCTGTGGTGGTCAGGAGAGGGCCCCCGCCTGCCTCATGCCCACCTCTGCTGATCTTCACGCAGAGCAGCCTCGTGGGAACATCCCGAAGTACCTGAGGGCTGGGGGTGGGGAGACTGAGACAGAGGTGACGTGCAGCGGTGACTGCAGAGCCAGGGTTTGGCTGGGCCCCAGCTATTCTGTGACAGCCAGAGAAAGGCCGGTTCCTCCCTGCATCCTCGTTGCTCACCATCTGGAAGCCAGGCCTTCCACACGGGCTGTCAGGCAGGGCAGGGGTGGCAGCTATCCATGGCCCCAGGCTACATGGACACCTGGCTTTGCTGTGGACTGGCAGCAGGGTGGTGGTCCAGCTCCCCCCTCAAGGACACCTACTGTCCCCAAAGTGCCTTGGCCAACAGGTCCGAGCCTGCTGGGGGCAGCTGCTCCTGCTGCTGGCTTTGCCTGAGGGCTGGCTGGCTGGGGACTGGCCCCAGGGGAGCCCGGGCCATGGCAGAGGCTTTGCCTTCAGGACAGACAGCTAGCCAGGGGTGGGAGGTCGGCCTGTCTGCGCCCCAGCAGCTGTGACCTCCTCTTATAGATGGAGAAGCCCAGACCTGGTGAGGGAAACCACCTCCCAGGGCAGTTATTTTCTCGTTTATTCATTTATTCCTTCATTCATTGAAAAAAACAAAACACACTGGGCATCTCCCAGGGACCCGTCCCAGCCTCCCAGCTCGTTGGTGGAACATTCGAACCGGGCACTTCCCCACAGCAGAGCTGGGCTGGCCTCCTGCCAGGGCCTCCCCACTTCTCTGTCTGTCCAGGGCCCAGGAGTGCTCCGCCCTGGTTGTGACCTGCCCCGCCCTCCCTGGCTCCCCCCACCCCCAGGAGAGCGAGGACGCGGTCAAGGCCCTGGCCAAGGAGAAGGACCTGCTGGAGCGAGAGAAGTGGGAGCTGCGGCGCCAGGCCAAGGAGGCCACGGACCACGCCGCGGCCCTGCGCTCCCAGCTGGACCTCAAGGACAACCGGATGAAGGAGCTGGAGGCCGAGCTGGCCATGGTGAGTCCTGCCACCGGGGGCCCCGGGTGTTGCGGGGGAGTGATGGACCCGCAGCCCAGGCCGGTGGACCGGCCTTGGCAGAGGGAGGGGCCCAGGGCCGCAGCCCCCAGAGCTTCCCTCCAGGACCACCTCGCCCGGGGGCGGGGCTGCCTTCCGGGGGCGGGGCTGCCTTCCGGGGGCGGGGCTGCCTTCCGGGGGCGGGGCTGCCTTCCGGGGGCGGGGCTGCCTTCCGGGGGCGGGGCTGCCTTCCGGGGGCGGGGCTGCCTTCCGGGGGCGGGGCTGCCTTCCGGGGGCGGGGCTGCCTTCCGGGGGCGGGGCTGCCTTCCGGGGGCGGGGCTGCCTTCCGGGGGCGGGGCTGCCTTCCGGGGGCGGGGCTGCCTTCCGGGGGCGGGGCTGCCTTCCGGGGGCGGGGCTTGGAAGACTCATTTTCTTACCCCTGGCCACTACTAGAAACAGTATTTTTTTGTTGTTTTTCTTGGTTCAACATGTATGTTTAGGAGCTGGGGTTGTGGCTCAGCAGTAGAGTGCTCAGCACCACATAAAGATAAAGTCATTGTATTGTGTCCATCTACACCTAAAAAATGAATATTTAAAAAATATATATATTTAGTTTATATATTACTTATGATATGAATATAAAATAATATATATTTATATAGAAGATACAAATATAAAACGTGTAAGTTTTTATACTTTATAAATAAATATAAAACATTTCATATTTCATACATATCTAAAACACGGTGTATACGTAAGTAGTTCCGGGGCAGGGCATACATCAAAATCGTCCATCATCCCAGAGCGGTAGGTTGGCACATGGTATTTGACTGTGACTTTCTTATGTGTGTGCAACAAGATTATCTTGGGTCATCAAGGGAAAAAAAAAATTTTTTTTCTAATCAAAAACAAACTCTTTAAATAATGCCGAAAATTTTGTGGTTTGAGAAGGTCCCCAGGGCCTGGGGTCTGGGGGCAGAGTGGCCAGGCTGGCCGTGGAGCCCAGGCCCGAGCCCTGCCCTCTGTGCTGCCTGCCCCTGGGCACTACCAGCCGCTCCCTGGGCTTCGGGGCCTTCCCGTTGCTGGGCCGGGTGGGGGCCTTGCCCTCCCTGCCTTCCCCACAAGGTGGCTGGGTAAATCCTCAGAGCACGCGGCCAGAAGGGCCTTTGAAAGCCACCAGGGCTGCTGGTGGCCAGGTGCAGGCTGTCGGGAGGGGGCCACAGGACTCTCTAACAGCCACGTCCTCCTACTGAGTGCCAGCACCAGCTGGGGTGAGGTCATAGTTGTGGGTTCTGGGCTCCAGCTGCCCCTGTTGCTCCCCTGAGGCTTCCTTACCTCTCTGAGCCTCAGTATCATCAGCATAAGTAGAGATAACATGGGGCGCTGGTGAGGATGTCAGTGGGATAATGGAAGGCAACCAGCTTAGGGTCCTGGTTGGGTGATGGTTTCCTATAAGTCACTTGCTTCAGGATGAGGCAATACAGGCCGGGAGGGCTCCTGGCACCTCCCCTGGGTCTCCTTGTCCAGTGCTGACCCCTAGTGGTGAAGGGCATACAGGCCAGGAAGAAGCTGCAGGAAGAGGGTGCAAGTGACACCCTGTTCTGCCAGGTCCTGCCCTGCCCTGCAGGGGGACAGCAGAGGTGTGGCTTGTGGCCATGACACACTGGCCTTAGGCACCCAGGAGGCTGCGCGCCCTGGGTCTTTGTGGGCTGGAAGGCAGCTCAGCCACTCCCTGCCCAGCCACTCGATGCCAGGGCCCTCAGGCTCTTGCCGCCTCCTGTAGGCACCTCCCTCTCTGGCCCTGCAGCTCAGGCAGGGGTTTGTTGTAACCACGGCACCCATGGGCAGGGGGAGGGGCTTCACCAGAGCCACAGGGCCCGGGTGTTGCTGGGGCATGTCCGCCTGTGCAGGGCCCCTCTGTCACTCACCACCTGCAGAGTCTCACAGCCAAGGTGGCTCAGGGCCAGCTCCCAGCAGACCCGGGTTGCAAGCCCCAAGCAGCTCAGGCTGGCAAAGCCCTGGGGTATCCTGGAAGTCAGGATCCACGGGAAGGTGGAGGGGCGGGTTCAGAAGTCGGCAAAGCCCAGGCGCCACGGGGCTGGGGAGCCAGGGCTCCGGGCCCCGGTGTCCAAATGGCCCGTCTTGGTCTCTTTTGTACCTTGGCTGGGATGCTGTTGTGGGGAACAGGCTGGTCAAGAAGCAGCAGGCAGCCCTGGGAGGGCAGGAGGACAAACGTCATTTCATGCCGGCAGGCCCAGGGGGGACAGACTCCAAATGCTGAGCCCTGATCCACAGATTCTCACGACACTTAGAGGTCATCAGCCTCCTCTTAGACCCAGTCTGTCACTGGGCTTTTCCCTCTTTCTTGAAAACGCTCCCACTCTGCGGCTGCAGGCCCACGCAGGGTCCCTAATGTGAAGCCTGAAGAGGGGCTGTCCTCACAGGCACCTGTGAGACTCCCAGGGCAGCTGTGTACAGTCCAGGAGGCAGGGCCCAGGTTCACAGGGCTCCTGGACAAAGGCTGAGAGGGGGAGCTGACCCCCCGCGGCTTTGGTGTTACCTTAGTGTTTCTATGATCTCATTTCACACCCAGGCCTGGCTTGGCCACCATGCGCTGTCCTGGGTGACTTCATAAGTGACCCTGAGGCGCTGCCACGGAGCTGGGTAGACAGAGTCCCCCTGCCCCGGGCGCTGAGGCTGCTGGGAAGCAGGGTACCGGGAGGGGGCCGGGCCTGGTCTCCCAAGGGGTGTCCAGGCCTCGGCCTTTACCCGTCCTGGAGCAAGGAGAAGCCAGAGGTGTGTGCTTCTCCCTCCTCGGGAGCCCGGGTCACAGAGAACTCGCCTCCACCTGCCCGGTGCCCCAAAGCAGGAAGCAGCTCTTGTGCACCAGGACGGCTCCAGGCAGGGCCTCCCACAGCACTGTTGACACTCAGGCCGGGTGGCTGTGTGGTGAGGTGTCCCCTGCACGGCAGGATGTTGAGCGGCACCCCGTCTCCACCCACCACATGCCACACAGACATTGCCAATTGCCCCCTGGAGAGTGAAATCACCCAAGTTGAGAATCAGCCTCCCGCAGAGTCAGATATTGTTCCCAGAATCAAGCATCCGTGACGTCTGAGCCTGGCTGTTCAGGTCTGACAGAGGCCCAGTTTCAGGCCTGTCCTTTTCCAGCTGTGTGACCTTTGGCAAGAGACGAACCTCTCTGAGCCCCATTCCCTCCTGTATGACACTGAAACCATACAGACCTTCCTCCCAGGCTTTGTGAGGAGACCGAGACGCTGGGAGAATCGGGGCAGGCACTGGAGGCGCTCAGTCAACTGGAGCTGTCATTCCCTGAGCTCCTTCTAGACCTGGCCCCATCCTGACACCCCAGGGGTGAGCCAGGGGTTCCTCATCGTCACTGTGGACCATCCCTTCCAGCCTCTCTGTGCCTCAGTTTTCTCTCCTGTCAAGACCTTCGCCACAGGCCAGGAGAGCCGGGAACGCAGAGGGCTGGGGGGAGGCGGGCGGCTGAGCCTCGCGCCCTTCAAGGGTGGCACCGCCCCAGCACTCAGCTCTGAGGCCACCGCCTGTCCCTCGAGTTCCACCTCCAGGCCCTGGCCACTGCCTCCCTGGCCTTCCCAGCAGCCCTCTGCAGGGCCAGTTCCCAGCCTTGGCCTCACCCTGAGGGTCCACCGTCCCCCCAGGTAGAATTGTCCATTGTGGCACAAGAGAACAGGGCCGTTCTGCAGCCCGGCCGCGTGGGATCCACCAGGACGTGAGCCTGCGGGTTTGCTCAGGAGGCTCCGCCCAGGGGACCCCAGCTAGACCAGCACGGGGCAAGGACCCGGTGGAGCTGCAGGGTGCCTTCAGCCAGCACCCTCAGACACGGGCAGTGGACACGGAGTGGCCTCCGCCCGCAGACCCTCCGGCCTGCCCTGCCGGCTGCGTGGTCATCCCCATCCGGGAAGGACGTGGGTGACCCTGACTTCACCTCCGTGCTGCTCCCTGTTGACCAGGACAGGGGTCAGACAGTGTCCCTGGCGTGGTGTGAATGACCCTTCTCCTTCCTCCTTGGGAGGCAGAAGGGTTGAGCCCCTGTGTGGGGACAGAGAGCTTCCCCTGGCAACCGAGTGGGGGGCTGTGTTTCTCCACCACAAAGATGGGGCGCAGGCAGGGAAGGCCCCTCCTGGATCCCACGGCTGGAGTGGAAGGGCGGGGCCAGGTGGCCAGAGGTCAGAGTCCAGATGGACCGTGGTGAGGACGTGCGACCGTGCGTGCAGAACGCCTGCCCGTTTCCTCCCCAAAGAATTTGAGATCACCTGCCATAGAGCCCCACGCACCTTGCAGTGGGAGGTGACAGATCTCAGGCTGTCCCAGAGGCGCCCTCCTGGGGAGTCCCTCAGATCCCACGCACTCTGGGGCTGTGTTGAGGGCTCACGGCCTGTGATCCAGGGGACCTGCCCACGGGTTGAGTGGCCAGCCCCCCGCGGTCCTGCAGGGGAGGAGGTGCTGGCCATGGGTGACCCCTGTGCAGAGCCGGTGGCAGGGGACTTTGGGGGTGCTGAGGGGATGGGGGCCAGCCCTTGGGGACAGGTGGTGGGCGTGTCCTGGACCCCTTGCTCTCCACCTGCTGGCCACCCTCTGCTCTTGGTGGGCACTAAGGGGCCCCAGAGTGAGCTCACAGTGAGGGTCCCCGTGGCGCAGGTGCTCAACTCCCAAACCACACAGGCTGGTGACACCCTGGTTCAGAGGGCTCCTGGATCTCAGCCTGGTGGTGGTGACAGCGAGCAGCGGCCCCAGGGTCCCACCCTCCTGTCTCCCACTCTCTCTCCAGGCCAAGCAGTCCTTAGCCACGCTGACCAAGGACGTCCCCAAGCGGCATTCACTCGCCATGCCCGGCGAGACGGTGCTCAACGGCAACCAGGAGTGGGTGGTGCAGGCGGACCTCCCGCTGACCGCGGCCATCCGCCAGAGCCAGCAGACTCTCTACCACTCACACCCGCCCCACCCTGCGGACCGGCAAGGTGAGTCCTGCCCGGCGGCCCAGCATGGCTCCCCAGGGCTTCCTAGTAGGCCACCATACCCAGTGGGTGGGACAGTCTCTGATCACAACCTGGGGTGATGCAGGGCCGAGATCTCTTGGCTCTTGACACTGAAAAGGCCAAGAGGTGGACTGCAGGCATAGCTGGATCCAGAGGTTCAAGCAAAAGCTGACTCTGGCCCTTTCTTTCCATCTGGGGGCTCTGCCCACTTGCATTTGGCCTCATTTTTAGAGCTCCTCTTCCTGCAAAGTGGCAAAACAGGCTGCTCCCATAAAATGAGTAGCTTGTTGTTAAGTGTTCTGCTCTTTCTTTGCTCTTCCAGCCGACTTTAATTTCTAAATTCCAGAGCTCAACTCAAAAGTTGGAAAGTGAAAAAATTAAAAATAGAATAGTTTATCTCAGATCTCAGAAGTAGCCGAATCGTCATCAGGCTGGTCCTTATTTTTAACCCGTCTGAACCGTCACACTCCCAGTTAGATGAGGCCTCCCTGGGTCGCCGCGTGTGAGGGCAAACGGTGTGACTGTTCAAGGCGCCAGAGCTCAGGCGTCCAAGAAAGAGAGACTCTTCTCCCTGTAGCCACATCCAGCTCCAAAGAAAGAGTCTGATTGGCCGGCCAGGGCCACACGCCCAGCCCGGAGCCCTTCCCTGCATGCTGGGGACACAGATCCCTGTTGGCTGGCCTGGTCACACAGGCGTCCCCTGATGGAGGCCGCAGAGCTCCCTGATTGACAGCTCAGCCACTCACAGGGCCTGCGGGAAGGCCGGGGCACATGTCACGCTCAGACATAGCAGGGGGCCTGGCATGTGGGCAGCGACTGCGCCCACTGCCCATGGGGGAGGCTGTGCCTCGTCACCCTCCCATGGCTTACCTGTAAGAGCCTGTCTCCATGCTCTGTCCCTCCCTGAGCAGCTGCCCTTATGTGACAGGCACAGGCTGGGAAAGAGTTGTTAGCAGCGGGGACCCTCGGGGACTCCCTGTGCAGTGGGCAGGGTGCGCCCTGGAGGCTGTGGGCAGCGCTGGCCTCTGGAGCTGGCAGGAGTCACGCGGCTCGGCCCTCCGGGGGCTGGTGGTTGGTAGGGGAGGCGCCGTGGGTCCTGCGTTCCTACCGCAAGGGCAGGTGAGTCCCTGGTTGAGGGGCACAGGTTCAGAGTTCACTGTGGGGTTCAAATCCTGGCCCTGCTGCTTACCAGGGACCTGACCGTGACCTTGGCCAGGTCCTTGGCTTCCACATGGAAGGGGTGTCCGGTCCGTGGTGCACAGTGTGTATTCCACGTCTGTACCACACTGGGTTGTCGTGAAGGAGGGACATATGACATTCCTGGAAGGGGCCTGGGGAGCTCGGAGCTGCTGTCCTCGGCAGGGACATCGTCATCGTCATGATTGACAGGTGACGCGCAGGACTTTTAGAGCCCTGAGCGTAAACTAACCCAGAGTCCTCCCTCCACTCAGTGGAGACAGCAGCCCTCCCTTCACTCTCTGACCCAAGGAGGGGCGACTTTGGGGGGACAGGGTGGGGGGCTCTGTCCTCTGGAGCCGGAAGAGCTTCTCGTGAACCTGCCGTGGTCTGGCCCCTGCCAGGCAGGGAGACCAGGACCCCAGAGGGCTGCCCCGTCCCGCCTCGCAGCCCAGGTTCAGGGCAGAGCAGGGAGCGCGGCGACCTGAGCCGTGACCACAGCTGCTCATCACAGCTGGCTCGTCTGGGGACCAGGCTGGACGGGCCACAGGTCTGCAGCAGCAGGATTGTCATTCAGCCACTCTGTGGGAGAGCTGCCTGCACCATCCCCATTTTACGGAAGACAGAACTGGCCCAGAGAGGGTGGACTTTATGCCCAAGACCCACAGCCTGGAAGACGAACAGATTCTAATCACGACCTCCAGCACCCGTCTCCCTGCTAATGTGTGAAGTGGTCACTGGGGGCAGGGACTGTCTTTTCAGGAAGGGCAGCACATAGTAGGCACCTGTGTTAACAGAAAACCCTCCCCCACAGTGCTGCCCCTGCGGACAGGAGAGCAGGCTTCTGGGGGACCTGGGAGGGCTTCCCGGATGTAGCTTCTGATGGGCCTTTCATGCCACCCCTGTTTATTGAGCACCTACTGTGTGCCAGGCACCGTGAGCTCTGGGATTGAATGGGGATGAGCGACCCAGGTGCCTGCGCTCTCGGAGCCGACACTGTCCGTGTGAAGACCCCAACCCCTAGAATGCTTGCAGATTGGAATTAGCACCCAGACAGAGGTGTCAGGGGAAAGACGCTGCAGGGGAAGTGACAACTGGGGACTCCTGGATTGCTGGCAGGACACCTGACGGGCAACAGGATCCGCAGAGGCTGGGGCAGGAGGTAGACAGGGAGTTGCAGGCCAGGCTTGAAGAGCATGGTTGGAACACAGTGACCGTGAAAGGGAAGCCACTGAGCCCAGGCTGCCAGGGGACAGGGTCTCCCCACGTGATGCTCAGAGACCAGAGGGGAGATGCCTGTGGCTCTGGCTGCAGGAAGAGGAGTGGAGGCAGGGAGGCCCAGGGGGAGGCCGGAGCGGAGAGAGGCAGTAGTCCCTCTGGGGTGGGAGGGAAGTGGATTGGGGGGGGGGGCTGTTTCAGGCACTGGTCGTCATGTGTGGGGGTGGGGAAGAGGGCTTGGTGGGGGCCTCAGGTCCAGGACTGGGGTGTGGGGTGGAGCAGCCATTAGGGTGGTACTGGGTCTGGGACCGTCCAGGTGAGACTTGCTGGCCTTCTCCTGCCTCGGGTTAGCGGAGGCAGGATCCAAGGGGGTGGGAACAGGAGGCTGTGGAAGAGGGAGGAGCCCGGCGAGACCCCGCCTCCCTGGCCTCAGCGCCCCCCTCTGCCGGGAGGGGGTGGACTCGCCTGGGCCCCGCCCACTCGCCCTGAGGCCCCGCCCACTCACAGCTGCCCTCCTTTCCAGCGGTCAGGGTGAGCCCCTGCCACTCGCGGCAGCCTTCTGTCATCTCGGACGCGTCTGCTGCGGAAGGTGACCGGTCGTCCACGCCCAGCGACATCAACTCCCCGCGACACCGGACGCACTCCCTCTGCAACGTAAGGCCAGCAGCCGGGGGCCGGGGCGCCTGGGCCCTGCCCGCGCGGAGGGGCGGGGACAGCGCTGTTTCCTCTCGTCCCCGCAGGGAGCTCTGCGAGCAGTGGTGGATGTGGGGAGACAGAATGAGGCCCGTTGGCTCCTTGTGTCCGGGAGGGTGAGGAAAACCCAGAGGAAGGCAGGCCGGGTCCGCAGGGTCTGTGCAGCTGGCATTCCTCGCGGTGGGCCCGTCGGGGTAGGCCTGCGGGGGCCAGGGCTGCCCTCCCAGATCTTGCTCTGCAGAACGCAGGGCCTCACCAGAACCCCTGCTCCCCTGAGCACCAGCTCATCCTTCATCCAGGAACGGAGCCAGACTGTTTAGGTGCTTTTGTTTTTGAACCTCTAATAGTTTGAGCACGTATTGCCTCTGGAGGGGCATCCTGTGAATGTGCGCTAAATTTATTTAACTTGTCTAATCAAACACTACATACTGGGCCCAAGTCCCTAACCATCTCTTGATGGTGGGGCAGGCATATGGGCTCTGGGATGGTCTGCTTTCTGTTACTAAAACAAAATACCCGAGACTGGGTTACTTATAAAGAAAAGAGGTTTATTTAGCTCACAGTTTTGGAGGCTTGCAAGTCCACATAGCTTGGGGCCAGCTTCCGCAAGGAGCCCCTGTCCCCCTCCTCCATCTGTATCACGTCATGGCTGATGGCATCACTGGCAGGAGCACATGCAAGAGGGAGATCAGGGTCTCAGGGTCATGAGGCAGGAAGCCAGAGCAGGGAGGGGACAGTCTTGCTCTCAAGGACTCTCACTAGGCTCCACCTCTTAAAGGTGCCACAACCTCACGCATCGCCACGCTGGGGACCAAGCTTCCGACAGGTGAACCCTCGAGGGCACACTTGAACCACAGCCTGGCCCAGCAGTTTCCCAAGCCTGAAGGAGTGGACGGAGGGGTCTGTCATCTTAGGATGTCCAGAAGCCACACTGGGGCCCTAACACGACGCAGGGGGTCAGGGTGCGGAGACCCCTTGGGATTTTGGTTCCTTCACACATTTGTGACCCAGAGAGCCCCCTCCCTGTCCTGAAGACAGAGACACTGTGGGGAGAAGTCTCCAGATGCACAGGAAGCCTTCTTCAAAAACTGCTTTGTTAACCCACAAAACACAAGAAGGAGAGGAGGCGGACACGTTGGGCAACAGACATTGCCCGCTGACGATGGGACCGTCCCCTGGGGCTTGAGCTTGGCCTGAGATGCCATCGAGCTCAGAAGCAAGCGCAGGTGGTGTGGTTGGAAGTCATTTATGGCAACCCGTGACTTCCCCCCGTAAGCGTGATCCTGGTGGGCAGAGGCTGCCCTTCATGGTGGGCAGAGGCGTCCCGTCCACAACAGCAATGAAAAGCACTTTCAGAAATAGCAGGAGCTAAAACGAAGCTGGCTGGGCCTGGAGACGGGGCTGGGGACAGCATGTGCGGCCTGTCATGACCCCTGCAGTGAGAAGGCCGTGTGTTCCAGGGCGTGTGGCGCTCGGGGCTGGGATTCCTTTTACTGGGAAGCACTGTGTTCTCTTCTTGTCCCCAGAAAAGAATCCTGGTGACAAAGGCTGTCTTGAGTGACAGAACCAAGGCAAAGACGGCAGGCACTCGGGGCCCTGTGACATCCATCTCTGGCCCCTGTGCTGCCAGGCCTGGAGCCAGAGCCCCGTCCTTACACACAGGTCGAGGCCCCGCCCCCAGCCAGACCCCGTAGCATCTGTCCCCCCCTGAATGACAGCACCTTCCCAATGGCTGTACTTAAAATTCTCCTGGTGGACCCGAGGGGGACTGGACAGCAGAAGCGCTGCGGGACGTCCCCTCCCCGAGGGCTCTCTGAGGCCTCCTGACACACCGCGGGTGCAGCCAACTTCCGCTAGGAGACCCAGGAGGCCCCTGTGCTCCCTCGACCTGCATCAGCAGGACAGCAGACAGGACCAAGGACAGCCTCGTCCTCCCACACTCTGGCCGCTGACTTAGAGCAGAGGCAGGGACTCGGCACCGAGAGCCCGGAGAAGGCTGATGGACGCTGGCCCAAGTGACACTCGCTTGTTCCTTCATGACTTATAAGTCAAGAATCGGCTCCCAGTCAGACCCCAGTAGTGACGTGGTCGGGCACATGATCTGCTGGCCCAGCAGGGTAGCAAGGGTCTGGGATGCGGCAGAGGCTTTCGCACATCCAGACTGTGACAAGTCCCCTCTCCACACACACACACACCTGGAGCAAGGCTGGTGACAGTGGAAATGTCCCCCTGCCCTTCCCTAGGAGCAAGGAAGAGCTCAGAGCCATGGGTAGAGCTCAGGGGCCCGGAGCTCGGGGCCGAGTGTGCGGTTGCCCGCGGGAGCCCTGGGCCAGGAGGACTCAGACGGTCCCTGGTAGGAGGTGTAGCTCTGCCGGTCATCAGGCCCATGACGCTGGACTGTGAGGGCCTTTCCTTGTGTCTGTAGACTGGGCCAAGTCCTGCCTACCCCTCTGCGAAATAACAGATTCCTATCTGGGGGAAGCTAGCAGCGGCCTGGTCTCCCGAGTCGGTGTCTGTCCCCCAATTCTTCATTATCATGCCTTTCCCACAACAGTAGATTTCTCTATGAAAACCACCCAGGAGGACCAACCTCCGGTTCAAACACAGTGGACCAGCCAGGCCGGGGACGCAGACGCCCTTGAGCGGCTGATTTGCTGGTCAGAGGGTGCTGGGGGTGGAGGAGGCCAGAGTTGGGGAGCACAGACGGTCCCCGGCCAGGACCTCTGTCCAGTCCACAACTTGGTGAACGCTGGGCCCCGTCAGTAAGGCATCTGGGAATGTCAGCTTCAGGAGGTGGGGGCAGGCACCCCACTCCAGAGGCAAGGTGGCCCCTGGGGTGGCTTCTTCCACGGAAGGCCCCACGGGCCACCTGTGCCCCCGTGTGTCATCTGAACCTGCCAGTTCATCCTCCTCTTCTCCTTTGGCTGTAGGGCGACAGTCCCGGCCCAGTTCAGAAGAACCTGCACAACCCTATTGTACAGGTAGGCATGGCTTCCCTGGCACTGGGTCCCCCACATCCCCTCCTGACCGTGACCTCATCCCTCGCTCCCTGGGGCTGCCGATCGTCCCTGTGGCCATTCTGGGGCTTCCAAAACGGAGTCACTCTTGAGTCTCACAAGGGCTGGCACCTGGACCACCTCTGCTGTGCCCCCCCAGACCTTCAGACCTACTATGCACCCAGCGTCCCTGTGTCCTGCTACCCTGGTATTAGGACCCGCCCTTAGCCCCAGCCCCTCCCTGTTCCCCAGCGGCCAGTCCTGCTTCCTGCCCAGGGCTCTTGGGCGTGGGTGGCTGCCTCCGCCCACTCCGGGGCAGGTTTGCTCCCGCCCCCTTCCTCATACACAGGGGGCCCCCGGGCAGAGCAGCCCCGGCTCCCAGGTCCCCGGACTGACCCGGGCAGTGGTCCAGCCTTCCACGCCACGGGGCTGTGGGCAGATTTAATTTAAAGAACAATACAACCAGCGGCAGCTCCTGATTCATTAAATGCCGTCCTCGATTTAGGGGTGCCCTGGAGACAATCCTGGGTGGGTCGTATTGTCCCCAGGAGGTTCCAAAAGGCCCAAGCTTGCTCAGTGGGTGAGGCGCAGACACTGTCATTCTGGTCCGCGAGCCCAGCTTCTGACCTGCCCTTGTCCAGGCCCTGCCCCTGCCCCCCGCCCTGACCCTGACCCTGACCGCTGGCCTGAGCGGTGCCCACGGGCTAAGCCTCTCTCTGATCTTCTCCCTCTCCCTCTCCCCCGGGTCCCCCAGTCACTAGAGGATCTTGAAGACCAAAAACGGAAAAAGAAGAAAGAGAAGATGGGATTCGGCTCCATCTCGCGCGTCTTCGCCCGGGGGAAGCAGCGGAAGTCCCTCGACCCCGGCCTCTTTGATGGTACCGCCCCTGATTATTACATAGAGGAGGACGCGGACTGGTGATGCCCGCCGCGCGCCGGGCTGTCTGTGCGTGTGGACGTGCGGGCGGGGGGTGCGCCGCGGGCGCAGTGCGCAGCGCGGTGCTGCGGCCGGGCCTCCCGCGCCTCTGTAATTGATGTACATACCGCAAACCGTGTGTGACCCTGTCAGCTGTCGTCTCCGGAGCGAGGCAGTCGTGTTTGTTAATCTGTTTTTGTTTTTGTTTTTTTCCATGTTGGTTTGTTCTTTGGTTTTATTTTTTCCTTCGGTTCGTGGGTTTCCCTCCCTTTCTCCTCCCCTCCTTTTTAATGAAACTTGAAAACTTGAAGGATTGCTATGTATTTGTAAATAACACGACTATTGTGCACTCCGTGCTTGTACATGTCGCTGTCCTAACCACCGCTCCGGAGCCCGTCTCCCCGAGGGTGTGGTCTGTGTCCTTGTCCCCTCCCCTGACCCCCGTGTCCACGTGCAGGACCAGACCCTGTCCTCGGGGTGCGCCCAAGTCACTTTAGCCACAGAATGCCATCGTCGTCAGGGTAAGGTCGCTCTCCGTCAAGGCCCGGGAGCCCGCCGGCCAGGGCGCCTTGGCCAGGGGCTTGGGGGTCCGGTGGGCCCTTTTTAATGGCCTGCCTGTTTTTAAATTGCGTTGCGTTTCTTTCTTTATGGAAAAAAAAAAGAAAAAGAAAAGGAAATCATTTCGTTTAATTTATTTGCACAAATGCAGAAGACAGAATATTCTATCTAAATTATTACGTAAATATTGGGGTGTATATTTTTCCACGGGGCAAGGCGGGCGGGGGGGGGTCTCTGTTGACTTGTCTGTTCTCTGTTCATGCTGCTGCCAAGCCACCAGCCCGTCCAGGTAGGGTGCAGGTGGCTAGGCCCAGGACCACCCGGTTCCAGCTTGCTATTCCTCCTCTGTCTCTCCCCTCTCCTGGCTGCATGCAGGGCCTGGGCCGCCTCCTCCTCTCAGCCTCCCCTCAGCCTCCCCTCTGTGTATTTATCTGAGTACAGAACACGGCCTCGCGAGCTGTCACGATCCCCTTCTCTTGGGCCTGTCTTTTGCGAGAGGGTGAAGCCAGGGAGAGACAGCCCGGGGCTCGTCCCCAGGGTCAACCAAAGGGACCCTGGGCCTGCGTGGGTTCCCCAAGGGGCCCCTGCAGCACCTGCTCCTCCCAGGCTGTGTCTCTCACCCTGAGTATAGACCAGGCAGGTGGAGGGTAGAGGGGACCCTTGCCCTCAGGGAGGGCTGTCGGGGGACATGGTGTCCAGCCCTGAGCCCTCTGCCCTGCCCTTTCCTGTTGGTCCCTACAGCCACACTTAGGATCTCTGGGGATTCCTAAGACTCAGTCTCCGGCTTGCCTGACCCCCCCCCCTCCCAGGCGTGGAGGGCTGGCAGGAGCACCCGCCTGTCTGGGGAGCAGCACTGGCCACAGCGAGGTGTCACCAGCCAAGGGGACCCCGCTGTGGGTTCCAACGGGGGGTGGGGAACATGGGCGCTTGCAGCCAGGCCTACCCCGCTCTGGAAGTCCACCTCTCCTCTCCCTTGCCCTGGCCCCTGGCCCTCCACCTTCATGACTAACAGCTCGGTCACTGTGCAGACCCCGTAGTGATGCTTCTGCTAACAGTAACGTTTCAGCTCTTAGAAAGCAGCAGGGAGGTTCTCAAATGCTGGAGCATCTGGAATGGACGGGGCATTTTGTCCAGAGTCTCTAAAACCACCCGAGAAGCCCCCAGTCAGTCGGCTTCCCCTTGCCCTCCGACCCCGGCCAGGCGTGGGGAGAGGTGGGCACCGCGCCCCTGGGCTCCAGCTACCCTCGTTGGCTAAGCTGTTGACCGAGCCCAGTGGGAGGTAGAGCGGCTGGAGCTGGCATCATAGAGAGATTTTAGAGAATATTTTCCCCATGATTTTTTTTGTTGTTGTTGTTATTGTTGATTTCTATGGCTTTTCCAAACCTTTACTTACAAGAACATCAGATTGCGAACTCCTGGTCATGATTTAGTAGTTCCTTTTCATTTCAGTTTTTGTAAATTAGGAGATAATTCTAAGAGTTACTAAGGATGATTTATTTAAGAGAACTGCGTCAAATAGCGAATGAGTTATGGGCTACATTAGATGAAAATGAGCTTTCCCGTGGGAAAGGTTCTCCGAGGCATGGATGCAAATATAAAATATTAAAAAAAATCTAAATAAAGCTTATTTTAAAATATGATCGAATTCTATGTTATTTGAGTGCTTCTATGTTGCTCCGGGTGGGAGGCTGTGCCCCACTGGGGAGGCCCAACCCAGCCCGACCTTCTCCTTGGAACTCCAGGGCTGGGTCCTGGCGGGGGACGGGGAGGGGCCGAGGAAAGCTGGCTGGACTCTGGGCCCGCGGAGGGGCCGAGCCCGGGTGACCTCCCAGGGACACCTTGCCTTGCCGCCTGCCTGTAACTTGGAGGAGCGGTCGGCACCCAGGGCCGCCCCGTGGTCCTGACGCACACCTCCGAGCCCAGCACCCTCAGCTTTCATCCGCTTCCTCCCATCCCGGGCCCAGAGAGGGAGCCTGCGACCCTGGGGCATGTTACTTGCTGCGGGTCCCAGTGGGCCTCTGCACCGTCCCAGGTCCCCCCTCACTGGGGACTGAGAGTAGCTTAAGGGCAAGTGAGAGGCCACGGGACTTCCTCGATTGCTTTCTGAGCCCCATGAGGTCCCCAGGTCTCCCCCCTGAGAGACCCCACTGTGTCTCAGGAAGGGGCCACCTGATAACCCAAACCCTGACTACAGCCAGGGCCCTCAACCTCCACCTCCCACCTGGAAAAAAAAAATACATTCTCCCCGCAATAAGACGGATGGGGTCCGGGGCGTTAGCGCCTGCCATCCTGCTGGGAGAAAGCGCGGAGCTATCTAAGACACAAGCTAAGACTTCCCACTCTACGAGGCCTCAGATGGCCATCACCAGACAGAGTTGGCATGCGAGGATTAAACTTGTTTAATCCTGAAACTTACCCACCGACTCCCAGTGGGAAACACAGGGGGAAACTTGGGCCCAGAGAGGAAAGGCTTGGCCGGGGCCCTGGGTTCCAACCTGTAATCCTGGGGCCCTCTCAGGAACAGGGCCTCCCCTCATCCCGATCTTAGTAGCCGTACTCAAAAGCCGCTGTACCTCCCTTATGCATCTTTTTTGTCAATGCTGGGGATCAAACCCAGGGCCTTGTGCCTGCTCGGGAAGGCTACCACTGGGCTGTGTCCCATCTCCAAAGAGATCTTGCTGTAAACAGTCCAGCTCGCAGTGATGTCTGTTAGTCAGAAACTAGAGTAGGGCTGTCAGAGCATCCAGGCCAGTGTCCAGCTGCCCAGCCTGTGCACTGCACTACTCTAGAAGGTTCCATTCTCCCCTGAGTTGCGCAGTGTATGGCCTACAGGGCTGTCCTCGGTGGTTCTTCCGAGTGCTGTCCCACCTGTGCCAGCAGACTCCAACCGGTGTGACCGACAACAGTAACAACAATAATAATATCTAACACTTATTAAGCATTTCCCATAGGCCAGGCTCTGTGCTGTGCATTCTCCCTGATTAACTCAGTTAACCCTCCCACAGGCCTGTTAATCAGTGAGAAAAGCCCACCCTGCCCTGCCCTCCTCTCCCTGGCCAGATGGCCGCAGCAGGGTGACGCCATTTGCCTGCCTTGAAGGTGCGCCTGCACCAGAGCTGTGGTCCTGAGGGCGCAGGCCCTCCCACCCCTCACCACCCACCACCTGGTGAGCTTGTGGCCAGGAGCTGCTCCTGTTTTCTCAGCCCCAAAGAGGAAGAGAGTAGAATAAATAGTAGGTTTGCAAACTGTGTTCCGTGGAACCCCAAGGGGTTCCCTCGGAATGGCTTCAGTGTTGCCGTAGCTCACGCTGCAGACCACCTCCAGCCGGAAGGAAGCCCCACGCTGGACTTCTGTGTAGGAGTCCATTTGAAGGGTCCCCTGATAGACCCTTCAAAAAAGAGAAAAGGGAAGTTTGAGAACCACCATAGATGGGTAGTTGTCCCCTGACCCCTCCTGGGGTTTGGGGACAGAGACTCCCGGCCCCTCCACATCCACTGACTCAGGGGTCCCGGGCTGAGGCCTGCCCAGGATCTGGGCATGTATTCAACAAATCCCACACACAGGCTCAGTCTCAGGAGGTGACATGGGCGGAGGCCAAGGCGGCAGCACTGTGCCCCTGTGCCATCAGCAGACCTGAGACCAGACTGCAGGCTACTGCACCATGTCTCACGGGGCCAGGGCAGAGTGGGCCACACCGTGGGGACAGCCCCGTGGCAATGTGACTTTTAAAATACCTGTGAGTCCTCTCTGGGAAACTTTCACTTTAACAAATCAGACACCCCCCACACTCCTGGGACAAAGGGCTCTGAAGCCAAGTCAGGTGGGAGCCCCGTGGGTGAGGCCCAACGTGCCCTGGTCCCCCACCTCCCAAAGACTCCCTGGGGCACCTATTCACTGATTCATTTTGTAAAAGGACAGACCCGTGTCTTTGCATGACAAATAAGGCCCTGTAAACAAACCCGACTTAGAGGTTTGCAGGGTAGAAGTTATTAAAACATCAAAGTTATGGCTGTAAAGTGTCACTTTGCAGAAAATTTGAGGGTGTCCGTCTAGGGTGGCAGCAGGGTGTGGAGATTTCAGGCCAAAGCCACACTCACATGGCATCCTAAGGCCCAGTTCCCAGGAGCAGGGCCAGTATGCAGCCCTCTGCCCGGTGGCCATGCCCGCTGTCCCCCCACAGCCACAGAGGACCCCCCCCCAGCCCCGTGAGCACTCATCTTTAGGCAACAGCAGCAGCAGCTGAGCCCTTGCCCACTCTTCCTGGGTGCAGTGGGACTTCCGCTCAGCAGCAGGTGCCCCGGGGAGCCTTGCCACACTGCCAGGCGGAGTTGGAGCCCAGGAAGTGCCCTGCTGGCCTGACACCTCCCTGAATTTCAGGGTTGGGAAACCCCTGGTTGCTTTCTA